CTGCTCCTGATCCGGCCCCCCTTGTCAAATTTCAGGACCAATTGTCTTCCGCGACTCAAAAAAGTTTGACCACGCCCGGGTTAAACTGTAATCCTAGTGCTTGGTACAAGTTTCTTTGGTTTCCCAGACTAGTACAAGAAATGGTACTGGTATTGACTCGGTACCTGAGATGGAAAAATATGTACTCCCTATTTCAAGTCTTATCCCTAAAGAGACAAAGTTGCTGGTTAAAGTTGGTGAAAATTTAGGAAAATCAAAGGTTGTCCTTCTTGAGCAGGTTTGAGTATTTTGAGTAGCCAGACACAGTTCTACCGCCTCTGGCTCTCGTTTCTTTTTCTAACCTCCTCGTCTTTACAACATGAACCCATAAATGTTAATCTGATGGAGATAACCATTTTTTGTTTTTGTTTTTGTAAGAACCCATACAGGTCTCAGCACTAGGCAGGTGTTGCATGGAACCTGATCTGGTCTTATCTGACCCTCTTCTTTAGTCCGAGTGGACTCTTAAAGTCCGTGTGACAGGATTAACAAAGCTCCCTGTCCTGGAAGACAAAGGACGGAGACAAAGACCCAAAGCCGTCAGGCTCAGGCTCTTCATCCTCCAAAAAACCACAAACCATCAGTTTCCAGCAGAGAAGCCGTTCCTGTGACCTAAGCCTCTTTAGCAGCGGCAGAAGACGAAGACGAAGACGAGGTCTTCTGGAATGCAGACGTTTGCAGAGGGGGGGTATGGGTCGGAGGGGGGGTCTATTATTTCAAATCTTTTCATCAGGCTGAAAGGCAGGGAAATGGCTTTGACATGGAGCAGCTCATGAATAATGAATGCTGTTTCTATCAATGTATGTATAATTAATCACTCATCTCCTAACTGGTGCGCTGTGGAGCCGCGAGGCCTGAGTGACATGGAGACACGTCTGGACGATTGTCTCCGCGGCTGAATAAAAGACAGCTGCAGAAGCCTGCACTTTTCCTCAGAGAGTCAACTGGTGCTGATCCACACTGATAAGGAACAGCTTCAGTGCCGTTTTTTTTTTTTTTTCTTCTTCTTCTGTTCTCTTCGCAGCGCTGCAGGCAATTGTTTGGGGTGGAGGGGGGGGTGAATTATTTGTTCAATTTCACACGGGAGACAGGAAAAATGAGGAGGAAGTGTGGTCGTGTTTACGGATTTGCCTCATTGTGTTTTGCAGGAGAAGTTTCAGAAAACAGAACTGCAGATGGGGACAAAAGACAACTCAAAATAGAAGTTCATTCATTCATTCATTCATCCATTCCTCCTCCTTTCTGCCGAGGCTGCAGTGACACACACACTGAGTTCCTCTGTATTTTATTAGTTAAATGTCATTGAAAGAAACCTTTCCTTTTCGATTCATTTCATCTTTAGTTCTTTCTTTAGCGGGAACCGCGCTCATATATATGTCGACAATTCCATGCTTTATTTCCAAAACTCGTGGGAGTTGCATACGGAAGTCAAAGTGTGAAGCGTACGAGTGATCGGCCACTCTAGCTTCGGCGTCCGTAAGCGTGCTCGGATGTCAAATTTTTACTCGTATCTCGAAGCA